ATGTTCTCCTTCGGATCTATGAACGAGCAAAGACAACCATCTAAAAATGAGTGCCCTAACAGTGTTCCCCATGCAAGCCCCAAAGACGACGAGCGTTCTGACAAAAGCCCTGACAAAACGGGAGAGAAAGAGGATGACGTCCAGCTGCCGGCTCCTCCTGCAGCGAATGAAGCTGCTGGAAATGACATCAATTCCGAAGCAATTTCCACGCTCGATAGGCCAGAACGTGGTCGAAAGGAGCGCAAGGAGCACAAGGCTAACCAACCTAAGGGCAAAGCCGAGGATGTGAAGAATAAGGACAGGTCTCGTCGCAGAGTGTCCTCAGGGAGCTCATCAGAACGTGGTCGAAATGAGCGCAAGGAGCACAAGGCTAATCAACCTAAGGGCAAAGCCGAGGATGTGAAGAATGAGCACAGGTCTCGTCGCAGGGTGTCCTCAGGGAGCTCATCAGAACGTGGTCGAAAGGAGCGCAAGGAGCACAAGGCTAACCAACCTAAGGGCAAAGCCGAGGATGTGAAGAATAAGGACAGGTCTCGTCGCAGGGTCTCCTCAGGGAGCTCATCAGAACGTGATCGAGAGGAGCGCAAGGAGCACAAGGATAACGGACTAAAAAGCAAAGCCGAGGACAAAGCCAAACATCTAACCGAGAAGAACAGGACGAGACCTGTTGTGAAAGCCAAGGGAAAGCAAAAACAGAAACGTTTGCGTCGCGACAGTGACTCCTCAATTTCGCCAGAACGTGGTCGAAAGGAGCGCAAGGAGCACAAGGCTAACCAGCCTAAGGGCAAAGCCGAGGATGTGAAGAATCAGGACAGGTTTCGTCGCAGGGTGTCCTCAGGGAGCTCATCAGGACGGGGTCGCAAGGAGCCCGAAGAGTACAAGGCTGACAAACCAAACAGCCGAGTCGAAATTCTGACGGAAAAATGCCGCTCATGTCGTAGGAAGTTGTCGAGCTCATCACACTCTGCGCACGCACCAATATCCAACAGGCGAGGATCATCTTCTAGCTCATCTTCTAGCTCCGATGATATACGGGAAACTCATTATATTGAACGTTCCGGCAAGATGGCTTGGAAAATTTACGCTCCTAACTTTAAGCGTAAAATTCATAAACGTAAATATTATGAATGTTTCCGAAAAAACTCGGATATACCCTACTCTTATCGATGTACGTACCCAGTTAATGGTCACCCGTGCGGTCATAAATTTTGTTCAAATGATCTTAACGCAGTAATTGCTCATATTTTGAAGCATAAAGGAGTTTCATTTAAATGTTATTATTGTTCTCCTTCGAATAGAAAGTCCTTGCAAAGTTCCAATGCTTACCCTTCGCACATAAAAACTTTTCACCCCGCCTTGCTCGCTAAGCCCCGAAGGCTGTCTGATTTCGTAATGGCTAATAAAAAGTGATTTTTCATTTTTCTTTTTGTCTATTAAAAAAAAAAATCATGATTTGATGAAAAATGCATTGTGGTCGATTATGGACATCCCCTGCCATACAAGAATGAATTGTGCGCTGTGCGCCTGTAATTTTTAATTATTTTATTTATTATTTATTGCATTACATGTAACAAAATAACACTAACAAACTAATAAAGAGAAATTAAACATGAAAAAAAAAA